TCTGAATGCATAATAATCTGGCCACTCAGGGTATATCCTATATAATAAAAGGCTAATAATGCAAATTGTCCCCTTGACCAGAAGTCCAACCAGCAGGCAGGCTGACCAACCACCCATGTCCCCTCCCCTTGGCCATGATGGCTGGACCCCACCCATGCATAAATTCATGCGTTGAGACTCTCTCTCTCTCTCTCTCTCTCTCTCTCTCTCCCTCTCTCTCCCTCTCTCTCTCTCTCTCTCTCTCTCTCTCTCTCTCTCTCTCTCTCTCTCTATATATATATATATATATATATATATATATATATATTAAATGAGCGGCCAGATTATAATGCATTCAGAGATCATAATAATCTGGCCACTCAGTGCAAGTCAAAGATGTCCCTGAAGCTGACACGTGTCCTGAATTTAATATGGCGAATTACTTTCTTTTTGAGCAACCACTCACAACTTCCACAGCCACAGCCAACCAGTCCCACGCACTGGCATATCTCTTAGGATTTCCTCAGTGTCTGCACATTTTGGTGAGAAGACAGCAACAGCTATAATACAATGTAGTGAAGAGCCTGGTGCATTCAAGTAGAACCAGCGATATCCCTTTGGGTCAGATGTCCAAACCTGTTATTAGAGTTCACATAAAAGCACAACAATGCAAACATCCAACCATGTTTTCCAAAGAACACAGGTATCTACAGCCTTGTTTTCATGAGAAGGAGGGTATGTAAATGAAGCCAGTGTTCACTGTTATTTTAATAATCGCATAATTAGCATAGGTTCGCAGCAAGCCTGCAGGAGAAAACAGAGGTTCCTTTAGATATTTGCCTCCTCAGGCCTCTTTTGTCTTCTGCTCGCTAAGGGATGTGTGGGCACCTGCACTGCTCTCTCATCTGTAGGAAAGGAAAGAATCTGTCTCCCTTTGGTGGAGGCAACTGTGGACAGAATGAATGGATCTAGCCCTGCCGGGAAGAGTGCAGTGAATTGCTTACCTGTTTCCTCGAGATGCCTTCCTCTCTCGCTTGAAAAGCACTAATGAGGATGCTTTCATAACTAATTTGCTTAACGGGACTTGGGAAACCAGAAACAATTTAAGTTTTAAAGACACATGAGCTCCTTTCTCATGCAAATGATTGAAACAGCTGTGAAGGAGGGTCTAAGATTTGCCAACAAGAATCAAAAAGCAAGAAGATTCTGAGATGTCAGCACAAAAGCGATGTAACCAAGAAAAAAAAAAAATGTACAGAAACCAGAAGTCCAGCAGCCTTCACTCTTCATGGCGTTGCCTCTATAAAACCTTCTTTGGTTGTGAGCTCGGTTCCTTTAAATGACAATTACAAGCACAAGCCTCCCTGTGGCCTTTTTTTTTTTTTTACTTTGTAAACAGCAGAAAGAACTGAACATCTAATTTTTGAAATTCCTCCGGCTTTTCTTTTTGACCTTTGGTATTTGTATGTATTGACGATCTCGAAACCACTGGACAAAAACACCTTGAAGTGTCAAGCTTTAAAAATGAGTCTTCTTTCTCTTTCTCCTGTGCAGCGTGGATTATCTTGGCCTTGTCAAAATACATTCTCTAGTTAGAGGCTGGAAATATCTCCCTCCTGGCTCCAAAGTATTGATTTTCTTCAACACTCAGCTCTGTCAGTCAGCTGAGGGGTGAAAGGTGAAAGTTCACCCTGCACGGCTTGGCTTTACCTTCCTATTAATGTCATGCCCTTTCCGCATTTGATCGGTTTATGTGATCACCAATCACATGGAACTGGTGCTGCCCCAGTTTCCCTAGAAGGGCACAGTTAAGTCACCAGGAGATGCTAACACAGTTCCTGGGATGGACCCTGGGCGTTTGACTAGGGCCAAGATGCAGCCGTCCTTTAATGTTTATTTCTTAAAGAAAATTATTCGGCTGCATGACGAGTGACTCATTTCAAGATGTTCTATGCTCTTGTCTGAAAGTTAAAGAAGTACACTCACCACTTACACATATAACCTTCTGTGAGCCATAGTATTCTCTTTTGTTACTCTTGCTCTTTAAAAACCAGTTCTACCCTTTCCTTCGGGGATTCAAATCCAACTCCAAACATGTATTAAATTAAGTGAATTGCATGATCTCAGTCCAGCCCCCTACCCTGAGGCTGCCAACCCACATCATCGCATCTGACAAGACATAACTTGGTACAATTAACAATCCATTTAGGAGCAGCTTGGGTGGAGATGAGAGCAATGTGCATGCAATTCCCTTGCCCAAACCACAGAGGGTGCTGTTGAGTTTCTGGTAGGCTGTTTCTCGGTACTCACACTCGGGCACTGCAAAGGAGGGACTCCCTCACTGCTGTGCCATTGTCCTTTGTGAACAAGTTCACCTTTCCTGAAGCTAGCTCTTTGGGGAAATGGATAATTAGATGGAAATAGAAGGCTTGATTTGGTACCAAAGGGAGTAGGGGTGGGGAGAAAGCATATGGATTTCAGTTGAGAATGTTTAAGAGTGAATAATGGTTTTAATGCGAGAAACAATCTTCAGTACCATCCAGCTTTATTTAACACACGTATGTACAGAGGAACACCCGGCACATATAGAATCTACTAAGTGGAGTCATCAAGAGCTGTCTTGGGAAGCAGACATTTAATCCACTCACTGGACACGGCGAGTCCAGGCAGTGCTTTCCCACAGAGGTATCGCGTCATGTCATCTTCCGCTTGTAAATGGTCAGTGAGGCCACGTGTGCCTCTGCGTTAACAAGGACAGGTCCAAATACAGTGCCCATGAAAGTAATAAAACACCGAAAGCATACACTGCCGTGACAATACGAAGTTTACCTCGGTGCTGAGAAACCTAGGCTGTGCTGAAGTGTGGACTGTGGTTTTCAAAATAGCCAAGGATGTGTGATGTGTGTTAACAAGAATGCAAATATTAGTGTAGTAGTGAGAGACAGCTGTCTAACCATCACCCATCCATCCACCCCAGAGTTTTGGAATCGAAATAGTCAGTAACTTCAGCTGTCTGCAGACAATGCGGGACAGGCTGGCCGAACCACTGCCCAGGTGCTTGGCTCCTGCAGGCCTCACGGCGTTGTTCTAAATGCCCGTGGTGTGTGCCATCCACCCGCGCATGCGGAAGCCTACCTAGCAGCCTCATACCTGTCTCAGGATGCACTGAACATTTTGTTTTAAGAAATCTCTAAGGTGTCCTTCCACATCAGCATTCCAAAACAGCTGTGTAGTCCAGAATGAATACATCCCCACTGCAGTTCACATGGGAGACAGATGCTGGGCCCGAGAGGACTCGATCCCTTGGGGCAACCATTTACCTCGGCTTCTCTACCTACCTCGGACACAACAGCATGCCCAGCAAACAATGTCTACACTGCATTCGTTCTTGTTTTCTTCCTGGAAACTACATTTCTAATCTTTATAAGTACAATGTACATGCATGTTTCATAAATTCACCTTTGAAAGAACACCCAAAGTCTATAACCAAGGAATAGTACAGGTTTGCCATCGGTGGAAATAACATACTTCACATCAATAAGGGAGAGATGCCTAGTGGGCTTAGTTTCTTAACAGGGTCTTTAAACATCTATTTCAAGAAAATTACAGATATATCTGTTCCCGGGCTACAGTCTTACTCTTTTGTATATTACACAAACCCGGACATCTACACCTTTTAAATTAAATGCTCCCATTATGATATTGGTTCCTCTGTAAACTTCACATATTTTCTCTGAATTTCATAAATCATTTTCTATTTCTGCATTAACACCTCATTTTACTCAACTAACCAATCAACCAACCAACCAACCAAACCCCCAACTATAAACAAATTGGGGTTTGTCAGGAGCGATTCATACAGAATATTGTTTGATGGATTTCCCCCATCACTGTGAGCGAGAGCCACAGAATGTAACGTGCGAGGTGGGAGCGACTGGGAAAGCTGGCAGGTGGTGAGCTCTCACCGCAACGCTGCTCAGGCTGACCAAGCCCCATTCTCATACGGATGCCCGGGGGTTGCGCCAGTTATTAATTTTCTAGGATACTTGTTTAAAGGAAATGCTGTCTTTACTTGTCTGTAGTTGATCAGTAGTAGTGATAACTGACTTAAGCCGTACACCTGGGAATTGCAGGTCTCTGAAGTTTCTGGAAGGAAGGGTAAGCTCTGACTTTAACACCTGCAGCCACAGACACAGCGTTTTCTTTTTTAGGTATATGTTATGTTTCTAAACTTGTTCTTTTTCATAAAAGTCCATTTAAGAGATAAGTTATAGTGACTGGATAATTATATTAACTAGATCCTCAAGAGAGATGATTTTGTTTTAAACTACTATATATGCCATCACTTAAGCAGGATGTGAGCATTTAAGAAGGCTATGTGTCTGGGAAACTGTATTCTCCACCAGGGGGAACATTTATTTTTGGTATATTTTCTCATTAATCCCAAATTGGCTAGGTATTAATAAAGAAGCTAGTGGTTAAACCCTAGGAAATCGAATTAGCAATTTCCTGGCCATCAGCTGAGGGGAAAAAAACAACAACCATGTAAACACAGAATCTTCGTGGTAAACAATAATATGTTTTAGGAAATCCAAAGGAAAATAATGTTGACCATTAGGACGGCCATGTTACCTCAAAACCCAGTGCCAGAACGACCGACCCCAGCAGCACTTCAGAAAGGGGGTGCAGCTTGAGGGACAGCTGATGCGGGCTGGGTGGCCATCAGTGTTCGCTGACTTTCAGGCTTCCGGTGCAGCCACCAAGGAGTGTGCCCAGGGGCCCACCTCCCCTCCCTCTCCAGCAGGGAGACGTGACCTGTGACAGAAGGCCACATCCTGCAGAGCGGTGTGTGCATGCCTCTGAATCAATAGGTGCCCCGGGCAGGTAAAGGTCCCAGACCATGCAGAAGTGACACAGACCAGGCTGTGCCCTAATGCCCCTGGGTGGGCAGCACTGAGGAGGGACCCAGTGTAAGGACAGAGGGATCTGGGCTTAGAAAGCAGGCACGGGGAGCGCCAGCCTCAGACCATGAAGCGGTGCTCCTTCCCGTCGTGGGCCATCAGGATGATGTTGCGGTTGGACGTCCAGATGAGCCGGGCCAGGCGGAGGGCGTTGTGGGGGCCGGGGGAGGCCGGCTGCACGGGGGGCACCTGGTAGGTTTTGATGCAGCGCAGCTGGGGTGCCGAGTTCAGCATGCCGATGCTTCCTAGCAGCGAGGTGTTCATCTGGGGACACAGGGACACGAGAGCACACGTGTCACACGGAGACTCCTTCCCTTCCCTGGTGACACCCACTCCCGGCCACTTTCTCCCCACAGCCTTACCCACGCTCAGCAGAGAGCTTATTCCGAACCTCTGAAGGGACCTTTCAGTGTATGTGAAGTTGTTCTGATATTATTACAGACATAAATCCAGAGAAATTTTACTTTGTGAGTAGATTCTGACAGCAGGAAAGCGCAATCTTTAAGAAGGATGCTACGCTGTGCATGCTAACAAAACGGTTCAAGCCTGGCTGGTTTTGCTCAGTGGCTAGGGTGTTGGCTTGTGGGCCGAGAGGTCACGGATTTGATTCTCAGTCAATGGCTCATACCTCAATTGCAGATACGTTGGTATTTCTCTCTCTCTCTCCCTCTCCCTCTCCCTCTCCCTCTCCCTCTCCCTCTCCCTCTCCCTCTCCCTCTCCCTCTCCCTCTCCCTCTCCCTCTCCCTCTCCCTCTCCCTCTCCCTCTCCCTCTCCCTCTCCCTCTCCCTCTATCTCCTCCCCCTTCCCTCCCTCCCTCCCTCCCTCCCTCCCTCCCTCCCTCCCTCCCTCCCTCCCTCCCTCCCTCCCTCCCTTCTACTGTTTCTAGAACTCAATGGAAAAAATATCCTCGGATGAGGATTTGAAGAAAAAAAAGTTTCAATGAGACAGTATTTGGAAATTATGGGTCTTTTCTACTGCAGACCTCTTTGTTCTCAACAGTGCTGACGGATGAGTCCACAAAGGCAAGTGTGGGGACTTATAATTAGTCCAAGAAAACGAAGCACAGTTAAGCAGTAGATCTCCCATCCCCATCTACCAACCCCTGCCCGCCTCACTGCTGTTTAAAAAAACTCAGTCTCTGGAAAGCTTTACTTTGGTTTGAAGGGAAAATAAGAAGCAGCTACATCTGAACACCGTGTCTGTGCCTCACTGTTTTGCTGTCGTGCTAAAGACAGTATACTTCCACGCCTTATTAGCAGTATTTCTTTATTAGTCATTGATTCCTGCTTTCTGGCAGATTTTCTGAATTTGACTTGAATTTAAGTTCTTTTTATCCATCCACATAAGTGAAAACTAACATGGAAATTATGGCTCCCAAACAACTATGCATTCGGGTCCAAGTGCTGAGTGTCAGGCAACATCTTAGTAAACTGCTGCCCGGGCACTGCATCGGATGGGCCCTTTAGATTCCAAATATCAGCATTTTTCCAATGCATACTTTTTGTGGTATTGCAAACCACATGGGAACCATACTGAAAATCAGGAATGAGGTCTCGGAAATAATGTTTTCCTCTGCACTACTCTTTCCACCAATTCTTCTCCATCTAGACATGCGACATTCTGGGGGTCTGTGTGAGGCATGCAGACTGTGACCCAATGCATGCAGACGGCTGACACCAGAGCCCTGCCCGGCCCTCGAACATGGACAAGTGCGGGTGCGGTGGCTCTGCATGTGGGTTGGAGCAGCACGCAGCCGCTCCTTCCCCGCTCAGAGCAGGCCGGTGTCAGAGGGCGTAAATCACAGAGTCTCTAGCAGGATGCGTGCAGGCTCCACTGACATTTTCACAATTTAAATCATCTTGAGTAATAACCCTTTTAAGATGACTAATGTTACTGATTTTACTGCATTAATAATAGTGCCGAACACTGCACAGAGGTGAAAAAAAATCACTAGTGTCCGAGGTCACATTTTAAAACCAAATGTATGGTTATTGTTAACTCTTTCTGTTAAAATTCAGTCGCCTTTAGAGCTGGGCAGTCCCTACCTGTCATCCTGCAGAGCCTCGCCCCTTGTTCCTTCTCCCCCGAAATTCCAAAAAAGAATAAAAATGAATGCCCTATCGCTTTCTGGAGGTTCCCAGAGAGTTTCAACATAAATAATGATAGTGAGCTTGATTGTAAAGTTCTCACGTGTACAAAAAGTAACAGTTCACAGTAATTTGGTCCTTTGACAGATCATACCGAAACAATCCAGAAAATTGCTGGTTAAAATGAACTGGCATCAACAGGCACACCGTGCTTTTAAAAAATCTAATTTCTCAGTTGATAAATAACCACAAAGTACTTTTCATTCTTTATGGATTTTCTATGAAAATGTGTACGAAGCCTGATTTCTGCTGGTGGCTTAAAATGCTCAGGGTATTCAATATGCTCACACGTCCTTATTTTTAATTCTTCTCTTCAAATTTAGCCAAGTACGAGAAATGGCTCGAGGGCTAACAAGGGGCAGGGAAAGAATAACTTACTGGAATTTCAGGATGGAAAGACTCATATACATATGAGTTCCCTTTACAAGCTGAGCCATCCCTCAGATGATAGACAACTGCCTTCGGAAGGGTCAATAGCCTGTCCATAGGCTCTGGACAGGACTATGCCAAGTTCTATAGGGTGTATAACTATTCAGTTGCACAAGTTGGAATGGTGAAGACCCTCATGTTAGACCATCCTTTCCCTATGACCTCTTCAAATTATAGATGAATCTGGGGTTGTAAGGGTGAAATTAATTTTTCTAATAAACTGAGTCAATGAATTCTCACCAAAACAACTACCTATTTTGTTATTCAATATTAATAATATCTTTTTTACCATTGGCTATAAACTCTGCTAAAGTGAAAGCGATTTGAGCCTTAAATGAAGGAAAATGTCCTGGAGTTGTAATATTTGGTAACATTAAATTTTTTCTTGCTCATAAAGATAAATACTCATTGTGGAAAATTGAAATACGAAAGAGAAGTATAAAAAAGAAAGCCAAAATCCACTGAAATCCCACTGCCCGGTGATAACCACAATTTAGTAAATATCTTCCAGACTTGACAGTGTGGAAGATATTTACTAAATTTTAAGAAGTTAAAATTTAAAGGATTTTACATAAACAGGCTCACATTAAAAGGCAGTTTCACAATCTGCTTTTCTCATTCAACAAAATGTCGAGGGCAATCTTTTCATGTTAATGACTATAGATTTACATCATCCTTTTAAAATGGCTAAATAGTATTCTACTATATGATAGAATAAATTAAAATAAATGAAACCAATATCCACTTAATTTATTATTAGCATTTATGAAAGAAGATAGTTATTTGTTGGTAGAAGGTGGTGGTAAAATTTACGTGAGAGAATTATGGTTGTATTTCATTACTAAACTCCCTTTGATCAAATATCAATGAATACGATAAGCTGAAATATTCAAATCACAGAAATACCTTGTTGGAGAGTCAAGGAACTGAAAGATGAGCACATCACATTGTTCAATGGCTGGGTTTGTAAACCAACGAAAATGTAACTGTGGCTTTTCCCTTCCCTTTAAAAATAATGCTTCACAAACCAGTTCTGTGAGGCTGATTTTCTGATCACACAGAAACACATACAGATGTAATTCATCACACAGGAAGTGTTTTATGGCTACTCTCAGAGTAACTGATGCTGCACACAGCCTTTTACTAAGTCTCGCTTGAGTAATTATCCACCCGATACTTCTCATTAACACTCATTTCTCAGCAAAGATTTTAATAGCTGATGGCTTTTGTAAGGTTCTCTATTAATAAGACTTTGTTAAGTTTCCAAAATATATTACAGTACATTTACTGGAATAATAGAAGAGTGTGATGTCATACATCATTCGAAATAAACAACATGCATCTAAATAAATCAGTGAGTCCATGTGGGGACAGCAGCGGCAGATCCAACACTACTGCCTGGACTCTCTTCAATGCAAATGAAAATTCTTTATACGTCTGAGGAGGCTTTGCTGTGTTTTCTTGATAGGCTGACATAATGTTTCTGTGACTTCCCATTTGGGTATAATGCGAGCACGTGAGACATGGGCTGCATTTTAAATTCTAATGTTAGCCGAAACTGGTTTGGCTCAGTGGATAGGGCGTTAGGTCCAACAAGGACCTGAAAGGTCCCAGGTTTGATTCCCGTCAAGGGCATGTACCTTGGTTTCGAGCACATTTTTGGCGGGGAGTGTGCAGGAGGCAGCTGGTCAGTGATTCTCTCTCACTGATGTTTTTAACTCTCTATCCCTCTCTCTTCCTCTCTGTAAAAAATCAATAATAAAAAAAAAATTTCTAATGTTGGATTTAGAGACTTGGGTGTTGCCTTACTTGCTCTGGTGCTAATTAAACATACTTGCATCCTAGGAAAGTAAAGGCAACAACAAAATTTTAAATTAACCTATTTTTGGGGGGACGGGGAGGGAGCTGGTAATTTTTAATATTTTTGTAATGATCAGCAGTAACATAATTAAAAAGAAGATTGGATAGAGATTAATCACTGGTGGTGAAACAAGTTCGACTGTAAAAATTAGTTGCTTAAAATTAATACTCATTTTAATCAGAATAAAACAGGCATTTTCGTGCCAGCCAATGCTGTTTGGGTTTTTTAAAAATGTTTTAATAATTTGGGGAAGAGCCCAAATTTGGGGATTTCCCGGATGTACACAGAATGAGATACTATAAACGAACATGATGTTAACATGAGGCTGCCTCTCTCCCTATGCCCCTAGCCCAGCCAGAGTTGCCTGGATGCCTCATATTTGTCAGTTCTTCCAGGCCGGGCCCTCTCACCTGGCCCTGTGCACCTCTCCCTCAGCACCCACTCCCCGCTGCCCTGCCTCAGCATCAGCACGTCTCGGCTCAGACGTCACATCCTCATGAAGCCATCCCACAACCTGGCCTCAGTTCCCCTCCATGCTGTGTCGCTTTCTTATTTCCCTGTGCCTCCCTGAGACTAAGTTCTGGGAGAGCAGACCACCCCCTTTCCAGGTTGCTATGTGCATCCTCGGTGTACCTTGCATGCGAGCACTGGGCACATAATCAGCAAGCCATGAATGCTTGACACCGGTTGAAGAAGGGACAGAGGGCTGGCAGCTGCAGGCAGCCGTTCCCAGCAGATCATGCAGTACGCTTCAGGGTCTGTGGCATCCTCGCTTACCTGCCAGAAGGAAATGTGACTGTCCGTGTTCGAGTAGGTGGCAAGATAGCGTCCATCAGGAGCGAAGGCCACTGCCGTGATCGGGCCCTTGTGTCCATGGATTGTCTAAAAGAAAAGTCAGAGTCATTAACTGGACTGCTCCACAGAGCTATGACACACATGCATGCAGGCGCATTCAGTTTTGAACAGCATGTCATGAATGTTAGATGCTGCTATGTACTTTATTTTATTTATAAAACCAGGTTAGAGAAATCAGAAAGCAGCCAGAGTTCTCTCCCTGGTTTCTCAATATCCAGTCTTGTTTGAAGAGTCCACCTGTCTCTGAGTTGGCAGACAGCATGAGTCTAAGGAAAAGCACATTCTGATGGGAAAACTAGTATGTTAATTCACTTATGTCCATTAGGGGGAAGAATTTTACAGTTAATTAGGAAGCTAAGAAACTGACCGCCAAATATACCCAGGAACCTCACTCATCTATAATGAAAGACAATCAAAGCTGTATCATAACATACCTGTCCTGGAAGGAGTTAAAAACTATCATTTCAACCCCTTAATAAATATATATTTTCATGCTTTATGCTTCATTTCCTACCAATAACAGTGTTTAAATGCATATGGCTCCAATTAGTAAACACACATATATGCGTGCGTTGTAGCTCTGACCACACATATAAATCAAATACTATTTAAAAACAAGTTAACAAGAATAATTCTGAGCTTTTGCCAAATAGCTCTCATTGATTTAACCATGAATTAAAAAAAGGAAGTTGTACTTAGAGTAAGTCTTTGATAAAGTCTTTATTCATAAAAAATTATACTAAAATTTAATGATATTCATAGTTATCGAAAACACTGGGATTCTAAAAAATTAGTAAATTATATTAATGTCCCTACACTCAACTATTAAAGATCATATATCTCCCAAATTAAGCAATATTCAGTCTGCTTACAAGCTCTAGATTGGTCTCCTTCCTGTGTCTGGAAAGAAATGGAGAAATGTGTTTTCTTAAACCAAGACAATACCATGAAGGTTTATGCCCATTGGCTGAAGAATTGTGAACCTTGAAACTTAGTGGAAGCAGCAAGTTCATCATGATTAAGCCCCATACATACTGTAAATTTCTGTAAGACTCTTCTCATAATTCATTTCTGAGTGATTAAAAGGTGGGGGAAGAGATTACAAGGACATTCCTCGTGCTCTCTAGGTTGTGTTCTTTACTGTCATTGGGTTTTCAGGGCACTGTGTGAACCAAAATAATGCCTGTTTTTCAATGGAGGAAAACTATTTTACGGTCTGGGCTTGTGGTTAAGTCAGCCTGCCTTAGCTGCATTTGGGCTCCACAACTTACTGACTGTAGGACCTTAGGCAACTTATTTAAATTCCCTAACCTCAGAGTACCCAAGTCTATAACATAGAAATTAGGATGATATGATATTGATAATGCCTGCTTTAAAGAGCTCTGTGAAAACCATAGCTACAGTACTCCGCACAAAGCATGGCACAGAATAAAACTCAATAAATTTATTAATTTTTGTGTCGTTCCCCCCTCCCTTATTGAAAGGTGACCAGACATATATAGTAAGAAAGTTGATCTTAAATGTTCTCAAGGCAAAAAAGAAATAGTGATTTTGTGAGGGGATGGAGGTGTTAGCTAAATGCTATAGTGGTAATTGTTTTTTAACACGTAAGTGTACCAAATCATCACCTTAAAACTACACAATGTTATATGTCAATTACATCTCAATAAAACTGAAAAAAAATGGTTAGACAGATGTAAACAATCACATAACTGAATTACTTGAGTACATCATTTAATGAAAACCATACATCAAAAAAATCCCTAATAATGTATCCCAGAATTGGCACCCACTAACATACTAGGTGGTCCAGAAACAGATTTCAGACTGGGGAGCTTAAGCAACTGTGGTAACTGTCCATGGTACTAGCCCACGAATGTGGTGCTAAATTAAGCAACAGGGTGAGCATGCTGAATAACTATTGCAAGAAACCAGCTCATCGTCATCTACCTTAGAACGAAAATCATTCTAGGTATGGGGGAGGGGGGAACATAAACAATTAAAAGGAGGAAAATGACCATTCCCACTTACTAGGTCAGCTTAACGAGCTCATGGGGGTAGGGAGGGGGCAGCTTTGATTGTTTTTTGTGTGTTGTTTTTTTTTAAATCAAGATTCAGTTATGTTAAAAATCTGAAATTCTGTTGAGCCAATCTGAGGCTATTTTATGGTAAAATAGTTGATTAGGTAGATATCTTGCAAAAATCAAGATTTCTAGCCTCTTCTAAAACTGGAAGCTCAGGCAATCCTGGGCCATAGTTCACACATGGGTGCCAGAGGCCAGTTCCAGCATGTCAGCAGGGCTGAATCATCTGGGATGGCTGAAGGGCACTCCCCCAATCCTGAATAGGATCCTTTGCTGCCAGATAGCTCAGGGTATCTTAAATCTACATGTTATTGCCTCCTGTTGGCCAAACAAGCTCCTCTGACTCCCAATGCCTTTCAAAATTATATTTCATCCTTGGACTCCTTATTGACTACACATCAGCCCCATTCTCCAGATTGCAAAACCCTTTATAATGCTAGGACAAGAACTCCGGCATGTGGGAACATCCATCAGTCAGTCAGTCAGAGCTCAGCCTCTTCGCCAGTCCCGGCCCTGACACAAAACAGGGCCTGTGTACCCAACACTGGCTGCCTGGCTCCCTCACTTCCTGCCTGGCCCCTCATGGTAGTTAATGCAACCATCCCATTATATACATTCAAGTGAAATACTTCTTCCATGCTCTAGGGGCCCAGTGTGCATCTAAAAGTGAGAGCAGGTGGAAAGCTACTCTAGAAAAAGTTGGCCCTTCTTGCAAGCTTCCCAAAGCCCAGCTCTGTGCTTTGGACCCCAAAATCTCAAAACAGAATGTTAAGCCTGCCTCCTTCAGATTAGCATACCCCTGTGATCAGCTATTGGAATGTACTTTAGACAAGGGAATGCACCAGTGAGTTGGCTAAGAACCAGCAGGTGCAGAGAGTGTACCAAACCACGGGTCACATTTAGGGACCACTCTGTGAGACTAGCTAAGCTAGACCTCTTGGAAAGGAAGAAAACCAGACATACAGGCTCCTCAGCAAAGTCTTCATGAACTATTTCATATACATCTTCATCTTTCACAGAGGGCTGGTATTTACAACATCTATGTGAATATTTCTGTATCAGTTGAAGATGCTCTTCATTATGTGTCTTACAGACGATCCTGTGAAATAAGTTCATCTCAGAATTTTCTGCCAGGAAAATGTTTATCTTCCCAGATCAATTTTGTTGCTTTCTTTTTATTATGAAACAATAATTACATAATCTAAACCGTACTCACTGTACTGCCAGGAAACTCAGAACTAAATTTATGCTCATTATGTGTGTCAAATACTCCTGAGAAGGCTTAAAAGAGCTAATTCCAATGTAACCCTGAAAAAAAAAATTTTTTTTTTTGGGGGGGGGGGGCTAGCAATCTGATTCTGTGCCAGCAAGCCCAGTGTACATTCTTGATAACCTATAATTAAGTCACTACCTCTTTCCCAGAAACTGGTCTTGCAGAACCTGTTATCTAAATACAGAGGCCATAAAATTGTGAACAGTGCACTGTTATTAACGCTGGCGTCATGCCAGACTATCAGATATAGCCTGGAGACCCCAATACCTGGGGGCCTTCTTGCAAAGAACTTAAAAAGGTCTGGAAGCATAATACACATTTGGGGGACAAAGACCCCCCAGAAAGATATAGAAAGAGAAGCCTCCTGCATGTTACTTTACTCAGATTTGGGAAGTTATTCCACTGAGTCCACTGGCGTAACTCCTTTTCTCTAAAAGTGTTGCTTGGTTTTTCTTTGGTCTTCTGCAACACTCCTACTTATTTCACTAATCATTGTCCTATTTTCCTTTGTTGTCGTTGGGGTCCTATTAGATACTGAATTTATTAATCTGTTTCTTTAAAGTCTATTTTAGACACTAGATCAGAACTCATTAACGTATGCGTATGCGCACACAAATGCACATGCTATACCACATGCCAGGTGCCCCACAGGGCTCTATGGAAGCAACACAGACACCACTGAGCACTGACTGCAGTGGCAGCTGACAGACAGACCTGTTGTCTCATAAGATAGCAAGTACCACTTGTGGTGACTCAGAGAAGCTCGCTGTTTTAGATAGTTTGGTGCATCTGAGAATTCATTCCAATCTCAGCCTGAGAGATGCTCCAGCCCTAGGTGCAATGGAAATGCTGCCTTTGTCTGGTGTGAAATCCCCGAACTGGCAGCTCTGTGCAGGCACCACCTGGACTGACTGGCACCTCTGCTCTGGCGGCAGAGGTGCAGCTGTGGGCACAGCGAACCTGTAAGTGTTCTGTGATGGAGCAAACCTGATGGTGGGATCTTAAATGCTCAGCTGGAAAGAACATTTTCCAAAATAACAGGTTTCTAAATAAAAGGTTTGGTCTACTTTTTATATGCGAATGAGTATCATGTCTTGTTATATTTTTAGCCAAAGAAATTGCTGTCTTGAATAGACAGAGATGGACTATAAAGAAATTAATCTAATTCGAGAAGTGCCTGAACAATAAAAGAAAATCAAGCAATTATGCCTAGCGGGAGACAGAGTGTTGAACTGCTAAACACCCACTCCCCCTTTCTCTCATGAAAGGAAGGAACTGCAAGGCAGGGTTAATAATGAGCAATACTTGCACTTAACCAACAGTTTTCAATAGGCGCTTCAATGCGCTTTGGGAATATAATTAACCCTGCTGTACAGAGGAGAGTCACGACTTTCTACAGTGATTTGGTCAGCGTCAGTACGAGTTCCAACCACCAGAATATTTTCTTTAAAATTGCTCTTTATAAGCTTTGTCTCTTCCTGGAGTTCTTGATATTGTTTCCCAATGGCAGATTTGACAATTAAACACAAAAAAGTAGGACTCTATTCCACCCACTTTAAAAAGTGAACAAGATCAAGGAGAACACTGTGTATTTATTTGCAGGTCTTATCACTTTTATAAAGGGAAAGGGGAAAAACCCAACCAAACAAGACATCTTCCAAACTTCAACA